TTATTAAGGCCCCTACATTATGGTCTGTACTATTCAGGAGAACTTCGGGGGTTCTTTTGAGCGGGCTTGTCTTCTTCGCGCCTGTATCTTCTTGTAGTGCACGAGTGTTTCGGCAACCCACACGTATGTTTGTCTGAGAGACGAGACGGTCATCATTCACCCAACTAATTTTCCTTCGGAGCCAGGCGCGCCTGACCGACCCNNCCCCCCCCCAAAAAAAAAAAAAGCTGAGCCGATGAATCAAGAAACATACGTATACCAGGATACCAAGCTCTCCTTTCGAGGGTTTGGTTGGCAGCAAGCCCCTGCTATTTCTGGCAGTTCGCGGCCAACCTTGAATGTGGAGGACTTCAAGGTCACGGAGTTAGACGCGTCCTCCACCGCCGCATTGCTGAATCGCCGCCCTTCTCATGTGAGTCGTAGTGCATGCTTGATGCTGATATCTAGCCCTTAGGCCCTGTATCCCGAAGGGGACATAAAAACACGAAGGCCCTCACTCTAAGGCTAGTCGCTGTATCATGTTCGGGAGATCGAGAAGGATACCAAGATAGACGAGGGCTCGAACGAGAGAACCCATCACCAAGGCTTGGGCATCGACTGTGACTGGCCGATCAAGGACACCTGCGGGTCAGCAAAGTTTCAGGAGTTGTGTTCGTGCCCATCGTTTGCTATACTATGGTTAGTTGTTGAGCAGATTCCTATTCGTGACTGGGTCACGAACATGTGCGGGGGTAGTAGTGCCTCTCACCTCCATCTCGACCTCGAACCATTTGGATTTCTTCGCCCGACAAGCTCCCGGAATCAGAGATCTCTTTAGCTCGCCACCCCAAATGCTGCATAATTCTACAAAAGCTCACCGTAATTTATTTATTCTTGAGTCTTGAGGGGTTTTCGACCCGATCTGTAGTGCGAACAGGAGTGTCCCAGGCCAGAACGGCCTTCCGGCTGTTGGGTTCGATGCCAGCAAAGCGTGGGATTTAGGGGTTAGAGTTGTGTCACCTATATCGTACTTCACATTGTAATATATGTCCGGGCAGAACATACAGCCTTATGCACAATGCAGCCGCAGGCCATGTCCTGTAGAATAAGCTGCAAAACCTTGGACAGCCTCGTCCGAATTCTTGTCTAGGCTTGGGTAGTATAAATTAACGGGTTTCACGACGGTTTGGCGTGAGCTACACCCACTCGCGCGAGGAGGACAAAGAGAAGCCGGAATGGGAGGCCTTTCTTGCATTGCGCCCGAGTCTGGTTCAGAGTTGATTATGCCTGGTTCATTAGTCTGCATTGAAACTCGCCTCAGTGTCGGAGCTGGGAACTTCACCTCAGTGATAAGGCGAGTCACTTTGTCCATCATAAGCCGATCTCCTCATGATTCACCCTAAACCCTAAAGCCTCATGATCGCTTGCCAAATCCTTTCGAAGAGGCCGAGGCCGAGGCTGTTTTGCTGCCTGGCTGAAGATTTGCAGAAGTGTTCAACAGGGTTGCCTTTCATGCTCATAGTTCATCAACACACACATATGTGTATATATATATATACAAATATATTCGTGTGTATATATATATATACATAGATTCACATATTACAGATTTCCTTCACGTATGCTACATATACACATACATGTACATACACATGCACACACACACATTCTTTTCTTACATACACACATGACTGCATACATACGCACATACAAACAGAATTGCGCGCGTATTGGTGTACCCGGCCTTAGATATAGGCATGCCGTGGAAGAGTTTGAAAGACCAACATCCAAGTAGAAGAGCCATGTCCCTCTCCACCACAAGAAGCCGAAGCTGAAAGCGCTGTCAATCACCACTCCAAGACATTCCCTCCTCCGAAAGTGGATGCCCCGACCCTGCATAAAGCCTAGCCCGCAAGAAAAAGGTGGCGGGTGAGGCAGATTCCGGTCCTGGAGGCCCGGGCATGTCTTAGTAGAATACTATAGTATAATATAGCAGAATATGCTTCTATAATAGCACAATACTATAGTATGTTGGTGAGTGTGATTGAGCGAATGAGTGTTCGGAAACGAGGTTTAGTAAGTATAGTGATGAATGTTGGATTCAAGGTCACATTTCCTGTCCGTAGCTGAAATGCGCAGGCACATCCTGTCCCAAATCGTGGCCAGACCTTCGGGCATGTTGAGTGGAGCCTGAGCAGCAGGGTTGCATCTATGTCTTCCCCCGAACCTCCAAGTAACCAGAGGACTTTCTGTGTAGAAATCAAGACCAGGCCCCTACATAGCATTTTTTGGAAGCATGTATACACTTGGAGCCCTACGGTTCGTCTTTGGCAGAAGAACCAGCTATATCCGGACGCGTCGGCCACTAATTCTTTGAGTTTAGGGTGTTGCTCGGGTTTCTGCTGCTGCTACGGCCTAGGCGAAGTCTATAGCCACTGCCTGCAAGAAGCGTGTGGCTGATAAGCACTGCTTTTGGAGTCTGCTCGGCCTGTTATAACTTTAAGCAGCAGCGCGCCATCTCCTCATTGAAACCGCACGTCGATGTGTGTCTGCTCTCGGTGAAACACGGGAACGGATGTCTCATCCATTGGCAAGTTTGCCCTGCAGGCTGCACTCGAATGCAACTGAACCCTGAAATCATCTCGAGTACCACGCGCCCACCTCCAGATTTAAAATCGAACTCAAGCCCCCAAGCTTTGCGACCCAAACCCTAACCCCCCACCTACTATATAGGGCCCTAGGGGGCTCTGGGTTAGGCGAAACATTGCAATTTGTTGAAACTCCGAGCCGAGGATGTGCTGGAACCGAAGCCTCTAAGCACGGACGGCTGATCCTCCGAAGCGGCTACGGCTACGATCGTACCTTGGACATAACTGCGCAACATGTTTAGTGTACTCTAAGCTGTAGGGGTGAGCTTCTGATTGCAAAAGCCGGGTTTAAGTGAATGTGAACTCTAAGCTTTAGGGGTGGGCTTACGATTGCAACAGCCAGATTATGTAAACATGTTTGAGGTATAGGAACTATAGGGGCACCAGGGTGTAATTTGGTGTTGCAGGGTCTTTAAGGTCCATCGTGTTGGGTTTCAGGGCCTGCGTATTCTGGTGTCATGCAATTAGAGGCTGTCGGCTTGTCATCATCCCTTGGACACCGGCCCTTTTCGGGGCTTTTTCGTATGGTGCATCTGGATTGCATGGGGCTAATGCCAGAAGCGCATAGCCTTTCATAAACCCTCTCGAAACCCGAAACCATACTTGGAGGTTCATGGGTAGTTATAAGTGGGGTTATAAGTCCCCTAATATGGGTTATAAGTATAGCTACCCTACTTATAACCCAAATTATAACTACCCATGAACCCTAAACCCTAAACCTTTATAGTAGCCCTTATAGTAACCCCATTTATAACTACTCATGAACCTCCAAGTAATCTCCCAAACGGTAGCTAGAAATTCCGGGAAGATCCGAACCTGAAGCTGGTTTGTGGACAGGATAGGCCTGGGGCGTGCAGTAAGAAGTACCTGTAGTCTCCATTGTAGTTCCTTCTTTTCGGTTTAACCATATATATATATATATAATGAGGATTTTATAAGGTATCCCCAAAAAGGAACTACGATGGAGACTATAGGTATTTCTCACATGATCCCAACTTAGTCGGCTAGCCGCAGACTTATGGGCTTTTCAGGTTGGTTTCGGCTGAGTCGAGTCCTTGAATTCACTTGCCCGGCGCAACGGAAATTATGCCTGCAAACATTTGCCGCTGAACTGCATGCGTAAGCCTCCACTTGCCCCGCCAGTCGTCATCCCAGAAAGCCTCCCGAAAGCACGGCGAAGGATTGATCAGACAAAAAACTTGCCGTCCTCACATCAGTACCTACGGCACAGCTCTGACACTGTGCACCATGTATACCAAAGCACCTACACAGCCCATATCTAGTTTTCTATAAAGTGATTTCTTAGCCTGGAGTGGGTTTGCCGGGGCTCAGCATGATGAACCCTCTAGAGGGATCGTGCGTGTCGAAGCGCTCTCGCAGTGGCGCCGTGCGAATCTTCAGGCTCGTTGATAAACCCTCGGCGGGGACCGTTCGTGTCGAAACATCCGATGCCAGAGCACCTACATTCTAGCACCTACACCATACTAAGACCGCAGCACCTACATCACAGCATCAAGGCTGCAGCACCTACACAGCTGTTACGTCACAGCACTTGCACCGCGGCAAGACCACTGCACCTACAACAAGGCCAGATATCATATGCGTCCTTGGCAAATGTCGAGCTCATTGCTTTCGGATAGTCGGGGTCTGGGTTGGGGTTTAGTAGTAGCAGCAGCAGTAGTAATTAGTAGTAGTCGTCGTCGTAGTCGCAGCAGCAGCAGCAGCAGCAGCAGCAGCAGCAGCAGCAGCAGGAGGAGGAGGAGTAGTAGTAGTAGTAGTAGTAGTATCAGTAGTAGTAGTAGTAGTAGTAGTAGTAGTAGTTGTAGTTGCAGCT